CTTCTTGTTATCTGCATCTACATGAAAGGAGGGTGAAGCCAGGTGGGGGTCAGTCTCTTCTCCCAGATGTGAAGTGACAGATTGCACCAGGAGAGGTTTAGGTGAAATTTTAGGGAAAATTTCTTCATGTAAGAGGTTGTCCACCCCTGACACACACTGCTTAGGGCAGTGGTGGACTGATTATCCCTGGAGGGATTTAAGAGACATGGATATGGCCTTGGTTGGACTTGTTGGTCTCCAAGTGTTCTTCCTACCTTTTTGGTTCTTCAATTCCACGATGTTCATGAATGAGGTTTGGGAAGAGGGTTTTGGAGAAGTGGCTCCTCTAGGAGCAGGAGGCAGGTCTGCTTCCTCCATGGAAACCTCTTGACAGCTCCTTGTCGTTCTGCAGAGGCTGAGGATGTTGGAGGCTGGTGTCAACAATGGAGTGAGTGCTGCACAGGCCCACATGTTCCCCAGGTGAATGTATTTCCTTGGTGATTTTCTAGTTCCTTCATAGCCTGCAGAGTATGGGGTTTGCCATTCCTCAAACCTGTGGCATCATTTGCTTCTGGTGTTGGCATCACAGGTTCTTATTCCAATTTCCAGTATTCCAATTCAGAATACTGTCATTCTGTGATTCCAGGTTTCAGCTAGTTGTGTCCGACGCCTTTTCCACTGAACATACAAAGGTTGTAGAGAAGCACAGGGTCAGAACAGGTATAGGATGAGTTCCTGCTGCCCTGTCACACATGGGGTGGTCACATCCTGTGACCACACAACCTCCCAAGAGCTTCTTCCTTTCCCAGGGGAACAGGAGCATCCTGGAAAGATTTTCCTCCCTGTGCTGCCGAGCCAGAGGCCAGGCATGAGGCAGCAAGAGCCAGGGCCAAAGCCACCTGCCAGGTGAAACTTGTGGGAAGGGATTGAAGGGATCCTTGCATCTCTGGGTGAAATCCCCCTCAAACACTTTGGACTGTAGCGGCTCAGGAAGATCCATGAGAAACAACCCTAGCTCCCTATTTCTGAACACCTGGGGACTTTTAGCCCCAAGGAAAATAGGTTCCCTGTCTGCCTCATGCTCATGCTGATGACTCCTGGTATTTCTCCAGTGTGCCCCACTCATGCCTAGCCAGCTCTCCCAGGATGAGGGAGGCAGGTGGACAGCAGTTAGCTCCTTCAGCCAGGCCTGACATCTCACTCCTGGCCTCCGAGAACTGCCAGACAGCACTGCAGGTACGTGCCAGATGGATCAGACCTGAAGCAAGCCCCTCAAAACCTGAGCCTAATCATGCCTGACACCTCCAGGAGGTCTGGCAGCTGTCTGAAGAATGGGAGCATGGGAATTCCCGCTGGAGAGAACAGAAGGTGGAATGGGCAGCATGGGAAGCCTGGGCTGCTGGGGAGGACCAACAGATGCTGCAGGTATGGGCAGATATCCTCTGTGTCAGGTCACCCTGGCCACCCAGAGAGTCCTTATGGGACAGTGGGCACCAGGGGGTGGAATTTGAGGTCGAGGGGACCACGAAGGACTCATGAGGCAGGGCCCAGGTCTCTTGGAGGGGCTGCATGCTTCTGGAGGGCTTTGGCGGTCCCTGGGCTGGTTTGAGGGTGGTTTCTGGGGACTGGGGGACTCCTAGGACCCCAGGAGATGGGATTCCCTGGGGATCCAAACTTAGAGAGGAGTCTGAGACGGCGTTAGGATGCCCTGCTCACTGAGAGTGAACTGAGGCTTCAAGGGGACTCTTAGGACTCAACGAGGTGGGGGTCTTTGATCCCAGAGGTGCCCATTGGGGGTCACCCAGCCGCAGGGCAGGGATTGGCTGACACATCCCCCAGGGAAAAGCAGCTGTCTAGAGGGTGGTGCTAACCCAGCCTCTGATTGGCCAAGCTACTAGAAGTCCCGCCTAGTGGACAGGCCCACAAAGGCCCAAGGGCTTCAAAAAGGCTGACCACGAGGTAGCAAGTACATCTCCTGGCTCCCACTTCTCTGGGTGTGCTCTGGAAAGTGGCACCTCTGGTTTGCTGAGTGTCCCCTCCTTGACAGGTATTCAGTACTGGAGGTGCTTGGACTCCCCACCGTCCATCCCAACACCCAAGAAAGGGGGTCACTGGAACCCCCCTCCCCACAGAGAAAATGGCAGAGATATTCCAGCCTGGGACCAAGTGAGTAAATGTGGGACCAGGTGGGTGGACGAGGGATTGCATGGGCGCAGGGTGGGGTGAGGGGAGAGGCAGCTGGCAGCTCTGGGATCATGATTCCCTGTTGTTGCAGGCAGCTTTCCCCACGAGCCATCCAGGTGCTCTGTGGGCTGGAGCCACATCAAACACGGAACAATATCTTCACTTTTTTGGCTGAGAACAACCGGCGGCGGCAGAAGCAGCAGAGGCAGTTCTGCAGGTAACTCCAAAGGGATGGAATTCCCCATGTCCTTCTGCTGAGACAGCCACGGGGGACAGAAGCGGGATCTGGAGGCTGCCTTTGGGCTGGATTCCCCTGACATCCACCTGAACACCCAGCATTGGCTTCCCACATGGGATGGAAAAGTCCTGGCATAAGACAGAGGGACCTTGATGGCTGGCTGGTCCCCTTTGGTCCTCTTCCCAAACCTGAGAGCATGTCCTTCCCTGGCAGAATCCTACCCCTCAACACCTTGTCCTGACAAGGGACACCTATACAGGACAACTGTCTGGGAGGTGGTGTCTCAGCCCAACATGGCTTTGCCTCAGATGCACCAGGCATTTTCTCATGGGCTGGTAAATCACCGAAGGCATCTCCATTGACACCTTGATATGATCCCATCCCAGGTGGCCTGAGCCAATTCTGGAGAAATTCTCTGGCTTCTCCCTGCCATTTTGATCAGATATCTCCCTCTCTCTCTCCCTCCCTAGCCCCAAGTGATGGTCCAGCAGATGAGGGGTCTAGGCTGGAGTGATGCGTGCAACAGTGGCTGCTGGTGATGGGACTGGGGGACCGCTCACCTGCTGAGGTCCACTGTGGATACAAAATAAAGATCTCTGTTCCCACCTGGACTGAGTGGCATAGGCCTGGTGACGGAGCTACCTAATAGCTGGGACCATGTTGGGACCATGAGGGCTGGGGGGTGGGAGCAGGGGCACTGTGTGGGGGGACAGGGGCTCTTCAGGAAGCTGAGGAGGTGGGTTTGCCTCTTGCCTCCTGGTCAGGAGCAGCAGGTAAGCCAAGGTGGGCACTATGTTTGCAGCTACCTATTAGAGACCTGCTTTTCAGGAGGAACAGGTAGGTGAAGCTCCCTCACAAGCCCTGGATCTCATGGGGGACCAGTGCTGCCCCCAACCCCCTCTACCCTGCCCCACTACCTGACAGGAAGAGGATCCAGACATCTGGAAGATTTCCAGAGTGCATTTCCTGGCACAGGTGATATGGATCCAAGAGGGGAGAGGTGCCTGGGGAGGTGCCATCACCCATGGGATCATTGATGCCTGCTGTGATGTCACTGCCCAGTGAGGTACCACTGTCCAAGTGGAGAGACTGGGGAGCACTGGAGGAGACACTGAGAACAGTGCAGGAGACAGGGAGCAATGGAAGGGGACACTAGGGAGGGCCCTGAGTGCACTGGGGAGACTCTGGAGCACTGCATAAAGTTGTCATTGGCCTTTACCTCCCCTGGGCTGCCCATCATCTGCCCACCAGCACTAAGCCTGCGTATTTTCATTCCCCAGGAAGGGAAGGAATTGTCTTCCTCCTTTGTGAGCCCACCCCCCAAATTTGGATACCACCTCCCAAATTTGGATACTACCTCCAAACTCTGAACACGTCCAGGGATTGCTCCCACACAAAAGGTGTGGGGGCAGAAAGGTCCTGACTTTTACCTCTCCTGGGCAGAAAAGGTACTGACACTCCAGACAGGAGAGCACAGAGGTGCCTTTATGAGAATGAGCACCTATCATTGCAGCAAGGTTTATTGCATGCCAGAATTAGAATCACACCCGAAAACCTCAAGGGTTTAACAAACAAGGAATGATTTCTTCCTCCATAAAATTCCAGCTTTTAGTGGAACCCCACACAAGTTTCTGATTGATTTTGTGTGGTGCCACCTGATGTGGCTTTTCAGAGGTGGTTTGGTTTGGGTTCCCCCCCCGCCCCTCATCATTCACCAGTGATGGACCATGTCGCTTGGCACAGTGGCAGGGCACTACAGAAATGGAGCGTGAAGCAATGCTGAGGATCCAGGATGACCATGCCCTCCATTTTAGCATCATTCTGGCAACAAGGAAATCCAAATGACAACATCCTTTCAAATGTACTTCATCAGTCACAGGAAGCTAGGAATGACCTCTGAAACTTTGAGCATGGCACATTTATGCATGCAAGTTACTCCAGGAGAGGTTTTGATTGGACACAGATGAAATTTTTTCACTATGAGAATAATCAGCCACTGGCATAATCACCCCATGGAAGCAGTGGATTCCTCAGCATTGGACATTTTGGAGTTTTAACTGGACCGGGTGCTGGGCCAATCTTGTCTAGACTGTGCTTTTGCCCAGAAAGATTGGTCCTGGATCCTTGAAGTCCCTTCCAATGGCCCTTATTGTCCCCAGTGTTACCATGTCATAAAGCAATATCCCACAGTGCAGCAACAGAGCGATCCTGAGCACTCTGCCTGCTCTCAAAAGGAGCACAGTGATGGGCACAGACAGTATATATGGAAATATAGACAGGGTGAGGTAGCACACCCACATGAACAGACAAGCAGCGTTGTGCCCAGTGCTTAGATCAGATTTGTTTCCCACTCCCTGTGGCCAGATGTGTTGGTATCTCAAGCTGTTGGTGTCCCACACTGGGCACCAAAGAAGGCTGTTGTGGTTTAGGACTGGCATTCTCCAATTTAGCATTCCCACTGAAACACTCCAAACCWCCASAGCTCACTCACTCCCTCTCCCCTTGAGGCAGGATGGAGAGGAGAATTGGAGGAACAAAAGGTAAATATCACAGGTGAAGAACAATTTAGTGGAGACAAAAAATGAAATAAGAAAACCAACAGTAACAGAAACAATTGTTAACAGAGTGTAAGACAGGAGTGATTCATATTCATGCGAGTGCTCACCATGTGGAACCTGGTTTTACCCYGACCACTCACTTCACGCTATGCCACCTGAAGGGACCCCTTCCCCCTGCCCACTGCATATGATGTGAGGTGGTACASAATAGCCTTGTACAGAATAACCTCTGGGTCCTGGCCATGCCCCTCCTGGCTACTGCAAAAATTAACCCTGTCCKGGTCAGAACCAGGGCAGCAGGCCTGGAGGAGGTTTGGAGGCAGCTCTCCTTGAGTTTTGCTGATAGGAAAGGGAACACCAGGATCATTCAGGAGTTGTTTGTCTAGTCTCATCCCACATAGTAGGCACAGCCATTTTAGGTTGTGCATGACAAGGGCTCCTGAGACCCCAAAAACATTTGGGTGCCGCTAAGAGAGTTTTTCAAGATTTCAGGGTACTTGCCCAAGTAGATCAAGACTCCCWGGGGCTTGAAGATCAGAAAGACTTTCTGGGCAGAGAAGATTKCCATGGCTTTTTGKTAAAGCAGCAGCAGGAGAGGCAGCTGTGTGTTCCCCACAACCCTGTGAGGTGTGTCAAAGGCAGCCCCTCAAAGCCCAGCTTGTTTCTACTCCGGGCTGCAGAAATACATGCCAAAAAAAAAAAAAATGTTGATCCCCTTGCCATAAAATCAAACCCTAGATCTGATGCTTGTGGCATGGAATTTCAAGGCTCCACTAAAGGAACAGTAGCAGTACATGGCCTGCAAAGATGTGCAGGCAGGACCACATCCTGCACACTGGCAGAGGCATCAACTGCCATGAGCTTGGGGATTCTTGTCTCACTCTTCAAGAGAAATTGGGCAAGTCTGTGTGAGGTGGAGGAGCGCTGACAGAGCCCGTAGATGCCAGGGTGGCACTTCAACAAAGGAAGCAGCAAGCACAACCACGGCYCTGCTGTCAGGAGCCCACCAGTGTTGTGAACTACAGCAGGYGAGCCACTGAAGCAAAGTTGACTTGAAAAAACAATCACAAGTCCCATAGGTTCATGTTAAAACAAGGCACTTTCCTATTAACTACAGCAGTGAGCAACCTCACCAGSCAGTAGTGGGYGGGCACCCGCCCTTTGTCCGCYCCTGGTGGACATTTGGATTAGCTGCTGGCCTACTGCCATTGTCATTTGCTCTGGCCACAGCGCTGACTGGCGCCTCCAGAACCTCAGGACGCCCCCCCGCACCGGGCTGGTGCAACATCTCCTTCTCGCTGCAGCTTTTCTGTCTTTGGTGGCTGCCAGGCCTTGGTTGCAGGGGGGGTGGGGGGCATGGGGGGAGGAAGGCTTTCCATGGACCCAGGACAGCGGAAGTTTGGGGTACCTCCCTCTCTGTAGGGTGTTTTGGGCGCACAGGGGGGAACAGCAGTGGCAGGACAGGAAGAGCCGGAGGAGGGTGGAGATTTGGGGTGGGGGAGACACAGKGACATCCCAAAAAGCCCCCCAAATTATTCCTTTTGCCCTTGCTTCACTCACCCAACTTCACCCCCAAAATGACTTCAAAGTGCCCAAAATCTTGTCCACGAGTGGGGGAACCAGAGCAGCTACGTGCCTAGTCAAGACAAGGAGCAGGGCTGGGGCTGAGGGAGATCCTCCCAAAGTTTCCTCACCTCGATGACACAGCCGGACTTGGGCTGGCGGGGCGGGCATGGCACTGGCTCAGGCATTATGGTCCATCTGCATGCTACAAGGGAGAACATCTCATGCAGGATGCCATCCTGGAGCAGAGTGATTCCCAGGAGCCTGCACCAAGCCAGTGCCAGAGCAGCATCCTGGCAGGAGCTGTGGAAACCTGGAGAGAGGAGCCTGCCTGGAGCAGGTTCCTGGTAGGATTAATGATCACCTGGGCTGCCATAAGATTGCAAAAGGCCCCACTGTGTCTCTACGTCCCCTCAGTTCCACCAGGTTCCATAGGTGGTYCCTAGGGTTCCATAGCATCACTGTGGTATCCAGGGTTCCACAAGGTTCCATGGTGTCACAGTGGAGCCTGGGTTCCAAGAAGTTCCACATCATCATAAAGGTCTCCTGCAMCCTGCAGGGTCACAACACACTGTGGGTTCCCTGCTGTGTCACAAGGGCCCCTGACTTCCACAAGCTCCTGCAGCAACCCAGTGGGCCCTAGAGCAGGTGGCTGGGAGCTCCTGCCTCCCTGGTGGCTGGAGGAGAGGTAGCAGGGACAGTGTGCAGACAGTGCCATGRCCCTGTCTGTCCCCATGCCTGGCCCTGTTTCCACAACAGCCATGGCGTGTAACATCCACTCTGAGTCCTTACATGTGCAGGTGACAGCGGCATCCCRGTTTGGGTGCACAGCTGCTCCCGGGGGACCCTCTGGGTCAGGAGGCTGGCAGGAATTTKTTCCCCTCCCCAGGCTGTGCAGCAGTTGCCAGGTCCAGCCCTCTCTGGGAAGCAGCCAGGGCCGTGCCAGGCCCCAGCTCCCTGCACAGGCCTGCTTGGGCAGCTTTGTGGCCCAAAGGCCACTGGCAAACAGTTGGCTGCTCAGGTTTCTGTCTATAGCTGACCCAAAAATGTCCTGTTGGGGGTTGCCCTTTCCTACAGTCACTGTCATACTGGGACAAGACCTGGAGCCGGGGGGGTGTGTGGGGGAGCAAGGTCCGCAGTAAACCCCCATCCCCCAAAACACTGCAGAATCTGAGTCGCTCCTTGGGSCCATCTCTACTCTTGCACTGCTAAAAGCCAAAAGGTGTGCTTCATCTCAGCTGGGAACCTGAACTCTGGAAAACTTGTGTCATAAAGCCCAGCCACCCTCATTTATCTGACAGCAACGCCTGCTCTGCCCTCATGCCCTGACCAACCCCTTTGCGTGCTGCCTTCCCACACCTGCTGCCAGCTCCACGTGCACCCCCAAAACTCTGCAATCCCCTGCGCTGAGCCATCCTAGCAGGATGCTCATCTTCACAGTTGAAAGGGTCTTTCACTAGCCATCCCACTCTGGGTCTT